AAGGAACTCTTGTTTTGTTGAGAAAGAACATACCAGCTCTTAAAGGAACTTGGTGCCATTTCCCTTCTCCATACTTATCAATGCACTGCCTCAAGAGATTATCTTCTTCAGCAGTCCATGCACCTTTTCTCAACCCTTTGGAAGAACCCTCCATGGACCAATGATAAGTATTAGAAAAGTATCTAACCAATATTTTATTTTTTTTAAATTAAAGGCAAAGGATTGAGGAAAATGGTTTCTTTTGTGCTTTGTCAAATTCTTCTAGGGCTTTATTTATACACGTGACGGGCAGAGGGAAGTGACGTGCATGTCTAATATCCACATTTCATGTTTTATTGTCGTGTTTAATTTGCTAATTCAGTTAGTTATGTTATGTTGCTGATTTAGACTAAAAAAAGAAAAGGTTCGTAGCATTTAATCTCTTGATCTTTTTCTTCAGTGCTTTAAAGAAAACATGTCTCTTAGCAAAATTAGGAGAAAGGACGCGATTAAGATGGTTTATATGACTAAGACCATGATTAACCCATGGTTCTTATGATATGATTCTTAGCGAAAGTTAAGAAACTGTTCTTAATTTCGAACTAAAAACGCTAAGAATCGGTTCCTAAAGTCCTTCATTAAGAACCGGTTTTGAGAACCGGTTCTTAGCGTTTTTAGTTAATAGTTAAGAAACAGTTTCTTAACTTCCGCTAAGAACCCCATCATAAGAACCATGGGTTAATCATGCTCTAAGAGCGGGAGCAGCTTCGTGCACCAGAGTTAGAACAGAATAGGTGGATGTAGGACTAGCGGACCTATTCAGTGTAATGGGGTGTCATGTTAAATCTATAAAATTTATAAAATGTATGGTAAAAGTTGTTCTTTGAGACCCCTAAAACTAGTGTTCAATGCTCCTTAATTTTTTTGACCCCTGTTAAAATGGTTCATTGGTCCGCCAGTGTAGTAGGAGTACACAATTTGCAAAATAGTACTGTACTGTTTTTTTTTCTGTCAATAAATTTGTGAACAAAAAACCAGATACAATAATTATGAGTACACAAATCACTATTCTGCAAATTGTTCTATGATATCAAAATTATTCTGTATTTTAAAGTGTCACGTTGTTGAGTATGTTCTTTTGGTAAAGGAGTTCAAAAATATAACTTGAACTTCATTTGATATTAAAACAATAAGATTGATGAAATCCAGCATAATCATTTGCTCAGAGATTTTCATATTTCACAATATATGATGTTCTTGTTTGATAGCTTACGTCCTGTTTCATAGGTAATCTCTGAAATCTTATCCCGAACAAACTCTGTTCTACTGTAGTTTTACCCCCCCCCCCCCTCCCCCCATTGTAACCGAGTCCAAGTTTGGGACTTTCCTACCCTTCCAACAGAGAGAATCTTCTCCAGATCCTTGGTATCATTATTCAGCATGTGAATTTGCTTTCTAGTTTCAGACCTGATATCCTCTCTGTTTCAGATTCTTCTTTCCACATAGCCAGTTTCTTCGTTTGAACTGTCTTAGTAGATTAAAACTGTCTGGGAAATATGAAACTAGAAAATAGTATATTAAATGATAGTTTCTTCGTTTGAAACACATACATATCATAACAAGTATGCTGAAATCTCATCTTTGTTAATCCGGCAGAAAGGTATCATCAGTAAAACACGTGAGAATAACAAAACAAAACAAAGTACAACAAGTTAAGGGAAGTCGTTGAATTTTACTGTTTACTAGTGGCATGTTCGCGCGGAGTTGTAGCCATGTGTGTGTGCTATTTGCATAAGTTGTTTTTTTGCTTAGGACTGTTTGGTTAATTTTTGAATTGTATGTGTTGTATTTGTTATCGAATATACCGTAATGATGGGATGCGGTTTTTTTTTTTTTTTTTTGAAGTTGTAGTTCTTTCCATGATGGATATTTGTCTGAGTGAAAGGTCAAATGTTGATTGTATTAGTTTTTCGTGGGAACGTCTTTTTAATTTAATATAATTGTCTGAGAAAAATGAGATTCGTAAAACATAAACGAAGAGGAGTGCATATTTAATATATTTGTGGTAACATAGACCCCAAAAAGTGTTATTGATGAAGTTCTGGAAAATAACTGTGAGCTGATGTTTTATTTGTAGGATTTAAAAACGAAGCAGTACGTATCAAATAAAATATATGAACTTTTTCATTTGTTTATACAAATAGCATTGCTTGCAAATGATGCATCATGTGTTCGGCAATCTAACTTTTGCATAGATTGTTAAAGTGACTAAGCAGAAGATGTGTAGTACCCACCCCTGTGTTGCACCGAGAGGATACAGGGAAAAAATGAGGATGGGAAATGGTTAAATTAGAAATAATAGTGTAATCTAAAAATAATAAAGCCAAACCGAGATCTCTATTACTCGAAAAGAATCCAATTGAGGTTGAACATTCAAATCACACACCTTGTGGAAATCTCTCCCTTTCAACTTTAGAGAGGGTTATCGGGACCAAAATTTATGAGGAGTTTGATAATTCTACAAGTTGATAGATATTTTTACAATCATGCAGATTTAACAAATATTGTATCAACTTTATCAAATATTTTGTATTGACTCTCATCGATTGTTACTGACTATCAAAGATTTTTATACATATCTTTCTCAAAAAATATTCCTTCTAAGATAATATATACAAGTTTTCTATAACTTTTCCAAAATTGTTTGATATAAAACACATATGTGTATATACATATAACACATTGCTACTTTTTTCTGATAAAAATATATATTGACATATAATAGTTTTTCTCAATATCTTTCTGATGGTGCTTTAAGAGTGATATCAATAAAGAACATCATTTTTTTTTTTTTTATGTTTGGAAAACTCAAATGATAACACACTATAAACGTCGATCCCAAATATTCAAACAGTAGACTTATTTATATATTTTGCTTAAGGAGTAAAGCATCCCAAATCATGTTCTTATCTTATGACTTTCGAATCTTTCAATTTCACAACAAAAAAAACAAGAACATCACCAGCATCTTCTTATTTCAGGTTGCATAGTTAAGAAACACATTAAAAAACTAACGAATGTCGACAAATGAAAACATTAATGTCAATGAAAGGTAAGAAGAGATGAGTGGGAGATGTGTTTGTCGGTGAGTATGTTTTTATTACATAGACTTTTAAAATCTTGTGAAGAAACATGATATTTTCAAAATCTAGTCTTATGAGTAAAAGTATAGAAAATTTATATCCTAATAACAATAGAATTCAATAGAATTACAAAATCAATAAAACATAGACTTTTTGAATAACAAAAAAATTGAATAGAATTTAAAAATTCTCATACCAATAATAATGGACTTTACTAAGATTTTAAAATTACATAAACCAATAACCATGGAATCTCGAAATTTTATAAATCATCTAGAATTTGTTTACCAATAACTCTCCTTAGACAATGAACCTATCAACAAACCTATGTATGCATACATTTACGTTTATGAGGCAAATGAAAAAAACAAAGCCCAATTAATTACAAATATTGTGAATCTCTATTAAGTTGAAAGGTTGTGTTTTTATTTTTAATCTTTTAAGTTTGTTTGGAAACAATGTGTCCGTTCAAAAGTTATTTAATTTGAAAAATATGTCTTTCAAAATTTTAAATATTTCAAAAGTTTTGAAATAATGTGTTCGCTCAAAAGTTAGTTAATTTGAAAGAAAGTGTCTACTCAAAATATATTTATTTTTGAAAAGATGTATCTATTCGAATATAAGAATACTATTCAATTAACTATCTATAAATAAAAGGCTGTGATTATTCATTAAAAACTGATTATAATTTAAAACGTTGTAATTTTTCAACGAATTCTTTGAATACTTATATATATAGTCTATGTTACATAGAAAATTGTGTGTTTTCATTATTTATGATTAATTAGCTGTAAGAGTCATATCCTTCTATTATAAAAGACACATTAGTTTTTTAAATAGAGTTGTTAATCTATATATTTGGTGATCAATTATGTCATCAGTTTTTTATAAGTAGAAAAATTTTAAATTCCTACAGTCTTATTTTTTGTCGATTCCAACAGTCATATTTGTTCCTTAATTTTAATCTAACGGACATAAAATTCTCCTGCTCTAATTGGTTTACATCATCAAAGTAGTCGAATAATTGACACCTTTTTCCGGACAGTTTCATTCTCAAACAACACAATCTTTAGATCATACCCTCTCTGATCAATATATACATATCTAAGTTCCCTGTTTTTACATATGATGCATGTTAGTCACTCTATGGCCACGTTTCGAGACGAACGAGAACCTAGAATTTTGATGCTTGTCTAAACCAAAAATTTGCTGAAGACGACGACATCCATTGACCAAAAATTTGTTGTATAAGCAAACAATACAATATGAATTAATCGGAAATTTGATTGGGGAACTAGAAATTTCAATATGCCAGCGAGAGAAATAGAGACTTTTCCAACGGCGAGATTGATTTTAAAGTCTTTGAAGTTGCTTGTTTCCTTTCCTAAAGTGTGGAACTAGTTATGCCTAGAGTGGTGGTTATTATGGGGCTCTATTGTAATACCGCGAAAATCCTGATTGAAAATCACGAAACGATTTGCGGACGCCGTTGGAAAAGTCTATAACGTGTATAAGGATAGAGAAAAGTGAGTTCGTTACTCTGATTTTCTAATATTAATATGGGTATGTAGTTGAAGATGTTGTGTCAGATAAGAGAAAAAAAAAGCGGTTTCTACATCTCATCTTTTACTATCTACTTGATTTTTTTTTTTTTTTTTTTTTGAGCAGTTACTTGATTTC